AGCCTCTGGCATCCCATGTTCCTTCTCTTGTGGCCTTCACGAGTGCACAACCAGCCGGTTTATTTGGACCTCTGCCTCATCTTTCTCCTTTTGCGCTTCAGCCTGCGCATTCGCTTCTTCCTCCACTTTGCTCTCATGGCGCGGAGGTTTCTAGAAAGATGGCGCTAAGGCCGAGAGCGTTCTGAACTTTTAAATTTAGATATTATATTTTGTAAGTATTTAGTTGCAAACTAAGTACATTTTATATAATAAAATTTAAATCAGTTTTGTGAGTATAATTAACTCCATAATATTCACATTAGGCAAATATTACTACAAAAGTAAGCCAATTTGTTTTACTGTTTGGTTTTCTGAAACTTTCTCCAAAATTAAAAATAGTAGTATTATGCAGATAAAAGTCTTATGGGCTTGGAGTCATGTTATAGTGATTCTGTCTCATCCATTAGAAGATGTCTATTTTCCTCATTGTAGGACTACTCTATTATTTCCTCAGTTATATACAAAACAGAATTAGATAAAATGTGTTGACAACAACTGGATTTCACATATTATCATTTCTTTCATGAGTTATGAACAATGACATCAGCCCTCTGCGTACATTAAGAAGCTCCTCTTCTTGCTGTAAGAAAAAAAATTACATTTAGATTTCACAATATCACATAGAATAGAAAAAAAGTCAAATTGTTATTAGGAATTAATTTTAAAACAACCCCTTTCATAAAGATACCATGAATCAGGGCTCATTCTACCCAACCCCTAGAGTCTATACATAGATATCTGCAGAATTCTGTGGTCAATGGAGATCATCTCTCAATTGATCATCTTGAACATCACTATTCTTTTAAATTCCCAAATCAATAAAATTTATATTTAAATTTAGATTTACAAAGGAAGTAAAATGAAAATAGGAAAAGAATTGACAAGAAGCAACCTAGTTACATAGCTTCTTGTATGCTTCAAACTAAGCTAGCTTTTAGCTACAACTCCTGATCACCTACTATTTCAGCATACCAAGCTTTTATTATACTTTGTAAGCACATTAATATGTCCTGTATATAAAGAACAGTGTACTTAAAAATGTCTTCCATCTTTAAGAAAACACCAAAGAGTTTACTTGGAGTAGCGCCTTTAGTCCCTCCCAGGTCTACTTTTTCTTTTAGCTGGTCTAGTAGGCTTTTGGAAAGTCAAATCATTTAAAATAATTTTTTATCCCCAAATCAAAGTAAATAAAGTGTGTTGTTCAAGTGGACAATAATACTTTCACTGAACTCCTTATTTTCTGTGTAGCTTTGCCAGACTATATTATGACTTCAGAAGGCAGGGCAGGTCAGAAGTTTGCTGTAGTACACAGTGTTGAGAAACAGTATAAAAACTTCATTCTTTCAGCTGCTTTTTTAATTTGCAAATTGATCCTCACTTTTTTCCTCTTTAGAAGGAATTCATTATTCAAATTATCCATATTCTTGTTCTAGAAATATTCTCCCATTATTTAAATAACTAAAAGTAACTGAGCTAAAACTCCCTATTCCTAACCAGAAAAGAAAAACCAAAAACTAGCATTAGTTCACTTACCATATCTTTCAGAAGTTTGTCTTGCAGTATTTTCATGTTTTCTTTCATCAAACACATCTGTAAATGAGTAAAATATATTTCTCACATGAGATTTATCATAAAGTTTTCACAGCAAAAGTTAGACTAACCAATATAAAAGATTACATATAAAAAACATAAAATTTATACCTCTGATGTAAAAATGGTTTCTTCACAGTCAGTGTCATAGAAGACATGTTTGTCCAATGCAGCTTTCAAAAGATGAAGCCTAACAAGTAAAATAGAGTTATATTTGTTATTTATTAGGAATCCAAATTAAATTGCTATAATATAGTACATAGAATTTTAATAACCCAAGTGTTAACTTATTAATTAAAAAATCAACATTTTTAAGTTCTAGTCATCAAGAAAATCATACTAACCTCTGCAGTTCACTTTTTTGACATGCCTTCATCATGTAAAATGTCCTTTCCCAACAATCCTAAATTTTAAGATACAACAACCAATTATATTTTAGTGTCATTAAAAATTAAGGCTCCACAGGAGAATTATTGTATTTCTCATATTCCAAGAAATAATTGGACTACAGTTTAAGATTATTCCAGGTATCATGAACTCTTTCAGATTAAAAAAATTTGAAAGTAAAATCTCTCAAGACTCCTACTTTTTTTATCATGAACTTTATTGCCATTATCATCATTACCTTTATTCATCATAAACTTAAGTTTGTAATTTAAGTGTGTTTATGTGAAACTGACTATTTAAACAATATAAAAACTAAATGTTTTAAGAACAAAAAGCTTTAGAATGTGTTCTCAAAGTAGAATGCATATGAACATTTTTCTAAGTATAGCTCTTTAAAGGCAAAGTTTTAAAATTATTTTTAAATTCTTAAATAAAAGAACAAACCACAAATTCTTGTTGAAAATCGTTTAATGACTGTGATTCTTTTTCAAAACTGTCCAGCTGCTCTGTCATGGTGAATTGGAATTTATCAAGTCTTTTAAACCTATTAAAGAAAGAAATGAGATTAATTTTAAAAATATAGCATTCAGAATATATGAATATATAGCATTCAGAAGTTTTCAGAACAAATTTTTGTTACAAACCTAACGTTCTTAACCTGATGCTTCACTGAATTCAGATGTTGTTTGGCTGTTTTACAAGATTGCTTAGTAAACTGATCCATAATGTTATGTCGGATCTGAAAAATACTCATTTTTAATTTAAAACATCTTTATAAAATAATAACCTAGCCATAATTAGGTTAAGAGAAAGCCGTTACCAGGAAACAAAATAACTAAGAAGAAAAGTGAATAACTTAAAACTCAGTTACTTAAACTGAAGTGTTAGCCGGGTGCAGTGGCTCACACCTGTAATCCTAGCACTTTGGGAGGCTGAGGTGGGAAGATCACTTGAGGCCAAGAGTTCAAGATCAGCCTGAGCAACAGAGAAAGAAAAATTAGCTGGGTGTAGTGGTATGCGCCTGTAGTCCCAGCTACTTAGGAAGCTAAGGCAGGAGGATCACCTAAGCTCAGGAGTTCAAGGTCGAAGTGAGTAATGATGATGTCATTCACTCTAGTCCTGGCACCAGAGCAAGACCCTGTCATCAACCCACCCCCCCCAAAGTGTTAAGAAATGAGCTCAGTCAGAGCAATGTCTTATCCCATTAGTAAGGCTTTAAGTGTTGCTAATTGTTTCCCTAAGAATATCACACTCTTACGTAGTGATTATAAATTCTCTTTAGGGTCACAGAATAAAAATCACACTTAAGATTGCCATTTTAAATCATTTTACACAAAAAAACATATATTTGCACCGAGCCCGAGATGCATAAGAGAAAATATAAATCAGGACTTCTCTATTTAGATTAGGTTGACCTTGAGCAAATAAAAGCAAAATAAATATACAGAACTTCAAATAATTGCAGATTTTACCCTGAATAGGAGAAAAGGCAAGCAAAAGATGGGGCTAGTAACCTGTGCTGAAAAAATATCTTTTATTTAAAGGCAGGAATAAAATATCTATTCCAAATATATATGAGAGGGCTAGGTAGGAAAAAACTCTTACAATTAGTAACTAAAGATTGTTTTAGAAAGTATTTTTGCATTCATTATCTCAGAGGAGCCCCAAACTGAGAAAATATAAGTATAGAGTTAGTAGAACAAAGTGATACAGGATTTCACTGACTGCAATTGCTCATCCTTGATACTATATTATACCACCCTCACTAATGGCAACTGCTGTGAGATAAAAAAAATGTCTAAAACATATGAGGCAGGAAAACTGTTCAGAAAATAAAAATCATAGAAGCCAAAATGTTAAATGGAAAAAGAAAATAAGATAAAAGAGAAAGAACTAATAGAAGAAGAATGAATAATGGGATACTGTACAGATTTTACAAGCAACGTCAACTCATGAGATAAAGTTATTTACCTAAGAATTATTCCAATTTTTCAAACATGAGGAAAATGGGGTTTGTGAATGGGTGGTTTATTGCTAAAGGATCAAATAAGCCAGTAATCTAGTAGGAACTGTGGCATATTATTATATTATTGGGTATAAATCATAATTTAAATAATGATAACTCACATGAATCCTCTTTCTAAATTCTGAATTGAACTTCTCACAAATCATCCCTGCACCTGAAAATTCACCATCCCAGTTCTCCCCATGAATAGAAAACTCATTGTTTGACAATGGAGATATACTTTCAGATGCTAAAAAAAGGAAGACAGTTATAATATGTATTATTACAAATTTAGCCTTGTCATTAGGCAGAAAACAAACCAATGTTATTTTCAGATTCTATATGTAATCTAAGCATCATGCAATTAAAGTTAGACTTCATTATGTTGTTTTTTAATTAAAATGAAGTTATTCTGATTTATAAAAAAAAGATGGCACATTTTATTAAGGTAAAAATGAGAACTTTAAAATGGAACATTTCTGGATTTTTTTAAACTGCTTTTTACTATTCCAAGTTATTACCAATACATGTATATTTTTACTGACACACTAACAAACACATCAACAAATTCATCCCCCTGGTAAAACTTAAATGGGGTAATAAGTGACAGAATGAAGAGGGAGATCTGTGAATATATAAGATCTTGCTACAAGATTATTCATATAAAGTGAACTTCGTGGTAAAGCATCATCTGTTTTGTACTTATCTGAAGTTGTCTTTACAAAAGATTTTGTTTTGTAGATGGAATCAATCAAAATCTAAGACGCCACCTTCCAAATAGCTGCATTTTCACACAGGCTTTTGATCCACCTACTTTTGTGTACATGATGATCTGTATCTTCAGATTTATACTTTTTGGGGAAAACAAATTTTGCTCTCCTTTCTTCTTTCTCTTCTATTTCTACTTCATCAGAATTATTTAGATTATCTTCTATGTACATTCGTTTGCGACTAAGATGGTGAGTGAGGCCTTGGGATCATTTAAGGAAAATTAGTATTGTTACAATTTTGAGTAAAATACCTAATATTTTCTTGTTTTTCTTTTAAATAAGGGTTTGTTTCCATTAATCATTAGCACTGTATTCTAAGGCAACTGTGCACTAGGGTTACTTTACGTATTTTCTTTTTGACACTAACTAAATTAAATAACAGTGTAAGTTAAAATACATAATCCTTTAAGGTAAAATGTCACAGCAGTATTTCAGTAACTAGTTATTTTTTTTTAGAAAAAGTAAGACTAAGGCTTCAAACCTGATACATGAGTAGTGTTATAGGGCATGTCAAACCACGTATTCTCTTTGTCTTCATTACACATGGATAATAGAGATGCTGAGCGACTTCCCTAAAATACATATTAGAAATTAGAAAAAAATACTCTAAGTACTTTTGGATTCACCTTGATCGGCTTTCTCAAACACTAAGGCTAGCAAATTTCAATTGTTATCAATTTTTTTTCTGTTTTGTTTCTGTCCCTTCCTTTTTATCTCTAATACCGCCATGTATTCTTAATTTAGATTTCATGTTGACCTCAATCCTTTAGTAATGTTTTGCTGCTGGCTTTTTTTCTTTTGACTATCCCTTTCAACTTTTCCTTATTAGGATTTTCATTTCTTTGAGTCAGGAAGTGGTGATTTGCAGAAAACTAAAAGCCACATCTTTTATAACCTTATGTTATACTGTCTGGATACTTAGGGATTTTTTTTTGGTGGTGTTTTAGCTAATTAACCTTTATTAGGTTACTGTGTTGTTTTTTTCAAGTAATCTGTATATAACCATCCATCCACTTAGGTGTAATTCAAATCATAGCCCTAAGCAAGCTATAAAATTCTATCTTGATCTTCTATATTTAAAAGATTAGAATCCATGCGTATTTATTGGTAGACTGATGGAATTTTATAGCAGCAAGAAGCTCAACTGAATTGCTATATAGAAGGACCAAATTATAAACCAACTTAGTTTAAGGAATAATTGAAAGTTACAGACAATATCATACTTACCTCTCTTTTTCTTTGTATGTGATTTTCAGAGAAATTTGGAGATTCGATTTCCAGAAACCGTTTTTCTAAACTATGACTGCTTATATCTGAATAGCTGTTACAATTTTGTGTTTCTTGTGCAAGTACCACAGAATTTATATTTTTTCTCTTCACAACACTATTATTCTTAGTTGGAGTATGCCTGGGCTATGAGTGAAGAGGACATATAGAAACCCAAAGAAGTTAGAAAATTATTTAAAACTCAAAACATTTGAACATAAATAAAAAACATTAAGCCAAAACTATTTAAATTTTAAGGGAATAATTCAGTACTAAAACTCAACAGCCATTCATAATTAGAAGGGGGAGAAAGCCCCTACACAACTAGAACATTAAGGTGAAATAGCTACCAAAAACTATGGATAAGGATGCCAGCTACTAAGGCATCTATGCTCGAAGTCAAAGTCACCTTAATGTAAAAAAGAACATGAAGAATTTTTGCATTTTTTGTTTCTAGCCATCATGAGTAACAGTTTATGATTGTCCATATAGAAAAGCCAACAGGATTTAAGTAGACAATTATGATAGAATTCGGCAAGGTTGCTGGGTGATTTAAGTATCCACATTTTTCTATACACAGTAAAAATTAAAAATATCAGAAAATGTGCCACCATCAGGACTCTTATACTTTGGACCTCTTATTCATTAAAATAAGGGTGGCTTGAACACAAGCACCATGATACCTTGATGGTCTGACAACCTAGATAGCTGCTATGTGACTAATGGGCAGGTAGCATCTATGGTATGGATATGATGGACAAAGGGATAATTTATGTCTCAATTGAAATGGAGCTGATGATATGAGATTTCCTGTCACCTTTCAGGAACACGCAATTTCAAACTGATGAATTGCTTATTTCTGGAATTTTACACTTAACATTCTCAAACTGTAGTTGATTGTGGGTAACTGAAATCTTGGAAAGCAAAACCACAGATGCAGGGGAGGGCTACTGTACTCCCATACCACCATATTCTTCCTCCGGTTTGGCTATAAATAAGTCTGTTAGGCTCACTGAGGATGGGAATTGGATCTTACTTGTCATTAGGTCCTTCTACCAACCTCTAGTCTAGACCAAACCCAAAACCTTAAGTAGACAAGCAATGCACATTAAATTAAGATTATAGGAAAATGATTTACCCTTCAGATATATCTGATAAAGGAAAAAAAATACTTACCAAAAAGAGTGGTTGTGAAGTTGGTGAACAACTTCCACTTGCATGGAGTAAGTTGTTATCATTGTTTTGGGGTGACTTTATTGGATGCCCAACTCCACTGTTACTGCTTAAGGATTCAGATGATGAGATTTTTGGGTAAGGTGATATAGATCTTGTCGCACAGTAATCCTGGGAAAAATCCCCTTCTGTTATTTTCTCTACACCTACAAAACAAACAAAAACAGAGACAGATGTTATCATTGATGTCTGCTTTAGAAATAGCATGATTAATTTCTAAGAATAATTTATCAAATATTCAAATATTAGCTTCATTTGAAAAGGATAAACTTTTAATAAATTAAGACCAAATTATGTTTAAAATATGGCTTTAAAAAATAATGGCTGAATTTAAAATGCATTTGTAGCCATAAGAACTTTCAAAACATTTCAAACAAAAATATCTACAGTATGACCTTAACTATAAACTCTACAGCAACCTAACTATTATCTTGAATGTTTAGATTTAATGATTAGAAAAGGCTTGGGAAATCATTTGGTCTAAATCCCCCATTTAAAAAAGAGGAAATTCAGGCCAAGTGTGGGGGCTCATTCCTGTAATACAAGCACTCTGGGAGGCTAAGGTGGGTGGGTTGCCTGAATTCAATAGGTTTGAGACCAGCCTGAGCCAGAGTGAGAGAGACCTCATCTCTAAAAACAGCTGGGTGTTGTGGTAGGCGCCTGTAGTCCCAGCTACTTGGGAGGCTGAGGCAAGAAAATTGCTTAAGCTCAAGAGTTTGAGGTTGCTGTGAGCTATGACACCATAGTACTCTACAGAAGGCGACAAAAGACTCTGCCTTGAAAAAAAAAAAAAAGAGAAAATTCGTTGCTGAAAAATGCCTTAATATAAATGAACTCTCAGTTTTCAGATCAAATCAGGACATGTACATCTGTCCTCTGAGTATGCACTTATTTAAAGTGACAGTGGTCTTTTTTTTAAAGACAGAGTCTCACTTTGTTGTTGTTGGTAGAGTGCCGTGGCATCATAGCTCACAGCAACCTGGGCTTAAGCGATTCTCGTGCCTTATTCTCCCAAGCAGCTGGGACTACAGGCACCCGCCACAATGCCCGGCTATTTTTTTTGTTGTAGTTGTCATTGTTGTTTGGTAGGCCAGGGCTGGATTCGAAGTCACCAGCTCTGGTATATGTGGCTGGCACCCTAGCCACTAAGCTAAAGGTGCTGAGCCAAAATCCCCATAATTCTTATGTTATTAAATAAACTTTGAGCTAAAAGCACATATTAAAATTAAAATTAAGCACTTATTGAAATTTCATATTATTTGTAAATATAGATTAAATATTTTCCATATTAAAGTATTTGATGTTTAACTTCCTAACATGAAAAACTTCAGTATCCTAGTACCACTGCCCTAAGTTAGCAAAAACCACATTGCTAACATTAACTAGTTTAAAAATGAAGTTCTACCTATCTATAATCTTAAATTCACCCCTCAGAATTAGTCTTCAAATTGTATTGTCACATAGTTACAGAAAAATGTTGAATATTCAAGTAAAGGAAAAATGAAATGATACTGACATCTCATTACTTCTATAGATGATGGAGTTCCAGATAGAGGAGATAAGTCAAGGCAGTTGTCTCGTGTAGTATCTTTTAATAAAGACGAGTTTTTCCATTCTTTTGGTAGCTCCTTTTGTGTATTACCCAAGACTTTCCATTTTTTCTTTGGAAGGCTTATCGTTTTGGTTTTAGAATGGATATTCTCCTCCTAAATGTAGGGACAACTTTCAAATTATACTCAAATACAAATATATATACTTGGACACATAAAACAATCTAATTAAATTATATTCATATATTTATTAAATACCTTATATTACTATATGCAGGCAAAACAAGGACTAGACATGAGCAGTAAAAGACTTTCTAATATATTAGAAGGTATAAGACATATCCACAGGAAAATATAATACACAGGCCATAAAAAATACCATAAGAGATACAAATAAAACAATATAGAGTTCAAGGAAGATTATAGCTGATTTAGGGAAACCAGGAAGAACTCCTAGATTTCATGACACTTAAGATACTCGGAGTTTGTCAAAGAAGGTGGTGAGGGAAAGATATATTAGGAATAAGGCAGACTGCTGACAAGAACCAAAGGAGTTGAGAAACATGAGTCCTATTTGGGAGTCACAAGCTTTACTATTGGACCATTACAATATAATTCTAAGTATATTGGGGGAAAAATGGACATAAACTTGGAAAGTATTTTGATGTTTTAATGTCTAACACTAGGGTTATGTTCAGCAATTTTATTTTGAAGAGGGATAGGAGGAGAGGTGGTTTGGGAAGACTTATCTGACCGTATGTACAGTAAATTAAAGAAAGAAGTGCTAGATAATGTGGAGATAAGTTATGAAGTCCTTTATGTCTCTAGATTAGAGATAAAGGGGTTACAAACAAGGGGAGATGAAGGTTTAATGAATTAAAATCAGCATAGTGTAGTAGTCAGAAACCTACCTTTAATGCAAGACTCTTTTTTTTTTTTTTTTTTTTTGAGACAGAGCCTCAAGCTGTCCCCCTGGGCAGAGTGCCGTGGCATCACAGCTCACAGCA